TCTGTCCCTGTGCAATCTCGTCTGTGGGGAATGGGATGTTGCTACGGCACACGCACTCGGCTCGAAGCTGTGCTATAATGCACTACGATGAACAGGGACAAGCTGCTGGGTCCGCTGTTCATTATTCTGATGCTGTCAGAATCCTCACCCAGGAAGCCAGCCTGCCACATCTTAAGTCATAAATGGTTATGGCCTTATACAAACACTAAGAGACATCTCTGAGAAATACCTGTGATACACTGCCTTGAGGTAACGTGCAAGAGAATCGAGAAAAAAAACAGAGAGGGAAAGGGTCAGAAACTGACACCACAGACATCGTCACACAGGCAAGGCAGGCTATACCTGGGGTATGATCACATCTGCCAGGGCTTTGGAGAGTTTGAAGAGTTCAGCTGTGCCTTCCAGTTTCAGCGCACAGTTGTGCTGTACGTCATACTTGATGCAGTCATAGATATCAGGGATCTTGCTGATGTCGTAACGCCCATTCTTCATGCGGAAATCTCGCTCCAGCTTACTCCAGCGTTGCAGCATCAGTTCTAAAGTCTCACTGTGGTACAGCTGCAGGTCTAAACAGCAGAGAACACCAAACCACATTCACGTGCTGACTCCTTCTGCGTAGATTTCAAGTGACAGCTAGGATGGACTTCTCCCAGCACAGAAGGGCTCCGATTATTACGTTGCCCACAGGCATCACTGGCCCTGCTGCACGGAGTTTTAACCTGCAGCAATAAGCTACTTCCAAAATACTCGAGAAAAGTGAAACTGCTTGCCTGTTGGCTTATGTCTGCCATAAATCGTGTGAAATGTCCCACAGATGCCTTTTTAAAACCTCTGCACTGTTATTAGGAAAGTTCTTAGAGGTGAGCAAATCATGACTGCAAAACGTGCTGGTTAGAGTCTTGAGCTCCCCTCCAGCAAATGCTTGAAAAAATCAGGCATCCCTCTCCAGGCTATGCTGCTGCTGCTTACATTCACTCTAAACCCAAGATGCACATATCGTTTCCTTTACATTACACCTCTCTCTAACAGTTGAAAGTGGAATAGGAGCCTTCTACATCAACAGCACATACAGAATTTCACCTTAGAATTCTCTCCTACAGACAAACACAAACCATAGTGGCGTTTGGGAGCTCTGAAGATGCAACAATAAATGAATCTGCTCCAGACACTTTCCAGTTCTGATGCTCACCTGCAGATTTTGGGTCTTCCAGACGTTTCTGTATCTGGGAGGTGAGATTCTCAATCAGGGTGAACACCTGGTTACAGACCTCTACTGGGTTCTGGATAAATGTCATGGAGTTGAGCAGAGAAGCACTGCCTGTAGGTGCTAGCTGAGAGGAGATACCAGCAGAGATGAGTTAGTATCTTTACAAACCGGGAACACAAAATGTCTGCCTTTTGCAGCTGTACTGCCTTCTTACTAGGTACAAAAGTTGTGCGCCCAGAAGAGCGTAATAAGCTGGCCTATTCCTAGGGGTAGTTAGGCATGTTTTAAAAACTTCCTCAGGACCAAAGTCAGAGGGAGCAAACAACTGATCCTGTCAGATCAGACCTCCCTCCGCCTACAACATCCACTCCTGCCTCACTTCGCTTCTGTGCTTCAGCAGAAGGGCTTCAGAATTTTTAAGCAGTTCTTTGAGGTGAGAAATATGTTCCTTAATGGTAGTGGATTTCAGTTCAGTAATCAGATCTCAGAGTCTGGGAGAAAAAATGTTTTAGGGACTTGCTGGAGAAGCAGCTATAGTGCTTTTACTGGCTGCTGTGCTGGATGTAGCCCACGCTCTCTACTCTGCAGTTATCAGACACTGATAGGACCACGAAAGGGTTTGTATCCAAAAGATCTGTTCACACAGGCACAGAACACAGATCTAAACTCCGGCAAGGCGTAGTCCCTGTCCGCAGCAACTGGGATTGTTCTGGGCAGCATGCAGTAAACCACAAGGACCCTTCTTTTAGCACACCCATGAGAATAAAATGCACTGGGACTTCTAAAGGGAGAGGAGGGTACCATGATGATTCTTGAAGGGGACAGTGGAGCAACACTGAGGATTTCCACTTGGAGAAAGGCAGGGGGTATTAACCTGCTCTTTCCCAATTTTGACCTGAACCGATCTCAGACTAACCAAACTGCTGTTCACATACCAGCAGGCTTCACGTCAAACCGCTGGAGCAATGCTATTCTCCTTCCAGACACAGGAAGCACTAAAGCCACCCAGGTGCTTTACCTTTTCATAATCCTCTTCACAGAACTCAGCATCCTTCTGCATGATTTCATGCAGTCGTGCCTTCACTCTGTGTTGACAGCTGCTAAGGGAATCACTGTCACTGTCCAGGAGACCGTTCATGTTGGCACTTTTCACCATTTGCACCAGGATGGGGGTCAGCTCTCCTTCCAGGGCCAGCAGACCCTAAAGCAACAGAGGACAAGATTTCAGCTATGTGCAACCCAAGCCACAAACATTTCTGGTAGTTTCATGGCCAGCCTTCAGTCAACTTGAGTGAAATCTGAACTGTCCTTGAAGAGCAGTTCTACAGCAACAGCACCTACGGTCACCAGTGACTCTGGCATGCTTCTAGAGCTATTCGAGGCGACAGGCCAGCTCTGCCTGCAGCAGCCCCGGATTTGTCCAGGCAATCGTTGAGCAGCCAACTCTGTTGGAAAATGTTGATACAGCAGAGGCTCTGAAAAACAGCTAAGGTCACCACCTTGGCTCAAGCCTTAACTGCAGATGAACCTGTCTCCTCCCAGTCCCCATCCCACACTGCACCAAAGGCATTTCATTCCCCTTTGAAATCCAGCAGTCAAGGAATAACCCCTCTGGCTGGGCAGTCATCCAAGAAACACTCATTTTGTAGGCAATTAATGCTCAGCAACAGGTCTGATGTGCTCTAACATCAAACACCAGCAATACTCCATAAATAACTCCTTCTCCAGTCAGAGTCCTATCCTGGACAGGATACTAAAGGTAACATGCATGTGCAGCTACACTGGATTTCCAGTACCGCCCCACGTGCTTGCTATTAGCTTAGCGTACCACCGTCCTCCCAGCAGAGCGGGGAAGCTCCTAGGACAGCTCCTTCCTCATCACCAGAGGTTTTCCTTTAGAACTGGCATATTTGAAGACTAATACAGCAGAACTAACAGACGCCCAAAAAAGGGGAAGGACCTTTGCAAAAGCTGCTGCTGTCATCTGAACTCGTCCCTCGTCTGAGGCGTAGATCTTGAGATCGTGACGGTAGGTGCTGTGCAGCCTGAGCAAGCCACATCCAGGGAAACCAGCGTAATCACCTGGAACAGAAAACAAACTCAAAATTAATGTTCTGACACCTGCAAAACTATCAGCTGAACATACTGCTTTAGACAACAGACTTTACTGTAGTAACAAAGATATGTAGAGAATTAATCACTTTCATAGCCAGCATTTAGGCTGCTCCAAAATAGACAGTTCTAGCCATACGTGATGACTAGAAATCTGATTCAGGCTTTGCTTAACTTGGGAAAGTTCATTTTGAGGGAACAAAGTGAGCATTCGCCAGTCAAGTCTGATGCTGCCCAAATTCTGCAGCAACCCTCTCTGAACAGTCCACAGTTGTTCTGCTACCCTGAATACCCCTGTGCAGAACAAAGATGCACAAAAAAATTGCCTCCTTCTACTTGTTCTCTGCACGAGAGCAGGTACTGCTGCCATCAGAACTGCAGGCAGAGCTATTCCGGAGGGAGGCACCTGGCTTCCAAAGCATATCCTGCAGAGCTACAATTATCTTGCCGCACAAAATGCCGGTTTATTTATGACGGCTGAGTCAACCACAGGAGTAAGATCAGTAATGGGAGAAAGCAACTCATGCAGCTCTCAAGTCTGATCCTCCAAAGACAGTGCAGTGGTGACTGATTTGCTGCTGCCTGGAATCCCATGATGATTTTGCACAGTACCCAGTGACACTGCATGAGAAGATGGGAAAACTGCTCCCAGCTCTGAGCTCACAACTCAAGAGAAACACCCTGCTAGACCAGGACAGACACCAGCCAGAAGTCAGCTGTGTATCTGGACAAAGCCGCCATGTACCAACTGCTACCCAGGAACACAGCATCCCACTGCAAAATAAGATCTCTCCCTCTCCGTGAACAACCACGTGAAGCCCAAGTCTCCAAAGCCGGGATTCAGAAGGGCTGAAGTCACCTTGTACATGCTCAGACCGAGCTCCACCATGAGCAGGAGGGCAGCCACTCGGTGCTCACCACCTCTGGAGCAGCCAGTTCAGAACTGGCACAGACCTTACCTTAGGGCTCAGCCCAGCTTGCTGGTAACTGTGCTCCACTTGACCAGAGCTCTGCAGACAGGTCCCTTCTCTCAGGTTTTGGCTCATTACGCTGCAATCTACTCCCTGTACTTCCACTGGAATTGCCTCTCCTGCACACTGTCTTCTGCTCTCCCCAATCTCTCGTCCAAGTCAGTGGCTGATCCTCTCAGCTCCGGGCTTCAGAGATCCACAACAGCACCAGCAAGTCCTAACCTAACCTTAGCCTTTCTAACTCACCGTTCCCATCTTCAGGAATGGCACACAGGCCTTGTCATGAAGATCCTCTGTCCACTACTGCTCCTCCTCCTTTAGTCTCTGTGCACTGACAGTCTGCTTTACCTGTTGGCACCTTGCAGTAAGCAACAGCACGTTTTTCTCATCTTTTGGAAAGTTTATCCTCACATTTGCTAAAAATGTGCTCTTGAGATCACAAGCATCTGACCTCACAGCTCCCCTTCCTCGACCTGCTGGCAACACTCCTCCTAACGCAGCCCAGGATACCATTCGCCTTCTGTGTGGCAAGGGCACGTTCTTGGCTCATGTTCAACTTGGTGTCCACCAGGACCCCCAGGTCCATTTCTGCAAAGCTGCTTTCCAGCTGGTTGGCCCCCAGCATATATTGGTGCAGGGGGCTGTTCCTCCCCAGAGGCAGGACTTTGCACTTCCCCTTGTTGAACATCATGAGGTTCGTGCCAGCCCATTTCTCCAGCCTGTCGAGGTCCCTCTGGATGGCAGGGCCACCCTCTGGCGTATCAGCCACTCCTCCCAGTTTCGTGCCATCTGCAAACTTGCTGAGGGTACACTCTGGCCCATCTTCCAGATCATTAATGAAGATATTAGAGAGGATCGGACCCAGTTTTCACCCCTAGGCTACACCGCTAGTTCCTGGCCTCCAACTAGACTTTGTGCCCCCAAATCCAGCTGTTCAGCTAGCTTTCAATCCACCTCACTGTCTGCTCATCCAGCCCATACTTCATCAGCTATGAGGATGTTACCAGAGACAGTGTTGAAAGCCTTGGTGAAGTCAAAGTAGGCCATAGCCATTGTTCGCCCCTCACCTAAACAAGTCAGTCACTTCATTGCAGAAGTGTTGATTAAGCATGAATTCCCTTCGTGAATCCACGCTGACTACTCCCAATCACCTTCCTATCCTTCATGTGCCCAGAAATGGTTTCCAGGATTAGCTGCTCCGTCACCTTCCCAGGGACTGTGGTGAGGTTGACCAGCCTGCAGTTCCCTGGGTCCTCCTTCTTGTTTTTGAAGCTAGGAGTGACATTTCCTCTCCTCCAGTCCTCAGGCACCTCCTCCTGTCCCCACAATCTTTCAAAGATAATCTAGAGTGGCCCCGCAGTGACATCTGCCAGCTCCCTCAGCACTCGTGGGTGCATCGCATCAGGGCCCATGGACTTATGTACGTCCAGTTAGCTTAAGTATGCCCTGACCAGATCCTCTTCCACCAAGGGTAACTCGTCTTTATTCCAGAAGGAAATATTCTCCAGTTTAAATTAGCTTAATTAATTTGAAATTTAATTAAATTGAATTAATTACACATACAAGTCAAAGATAAGCAGTATCCAATACTGATCTCATCAGATCAATACAGTAGCAGTGTACTATTTCTGACTCTTTACTTGGATGAAAAGGCGATCTCAGCCTTTTTTTTTTTTCCCTTTTGGGCTCTTGTTGGTCTGTGTATGTACTAAATGCTTTTCCGAGTCACAGAATTATGGCAGAGAAAATACGGAGAAGGTACCTTCCTATCCTCCTGCCTCAAGGCAGAATTATCTGTATTCCAAGATAGATTTCCTCTGTTCTCTACATCTGACCTAAATTCCTTGTTAACCATACATAAATTTTGAACCGTATTTGCTGCATCAGAACATATCTTATTAGAATTGCTTCTCTTTTTTGAATACCGGCACATTAGTTGAAAGAATGCTATTGTGTTCCAAGACATACTGAAGTTTAACCACTGCAGCAGACATTTCTAGCCGGCTTAGGGATCTCTGGGTGCAAAACCCACTTGAATTATTCATCCTTACCAGGTCAACTCAAAAGAACAAAACCAGCGATGGCCTGAGTCACCCAGGCTGCACACAGCCCACAGATGTCTGAGCATCCCTCACACTGGTCCACCTGGGCTGGGCGGCCTGGCACAGTCACAGGACAGGACCGGAGATGCATGGGCAAAGCTTACCTTGGCCTCCAGGGTACATACAGCGAAAGGCTCGCCCCAGCTCTTCTGCCTGGACTCTTCCTGCTGGTGTCAGCTCTCCACCCCATTTAAGCACCAGGAGAAGGGATGGGGAAGGCTCTCGGCGAGCTTCTAGGAGACAAACAGGTACTCACTACCTCAGACCTCAAAGCTGAGCTTGCAGGGGGAGAGGAGGGGAGGAAGAAGAGGTTGTCATCAGCACCTTGCAGAGCGTTCTCAACACAAGCCTGACCCAAAATCCCCAGGTTGGGGGATATACTTGAAGGTACAGGCTGACATTCATGAAATTGGAAGCATAAGCCCTGTGGCACTATCCGGGGTGTACTGGCACGCTACATTATGCATCACTCCCACCCTTCATATGATGTGAGCAAAGATAAGCTATGGGTCACTAATTTTGCTTGCACGTCCAGAGGCCTATATAGGTAGGACAGCTGCACGCACTCTTGAACACCAGGCTTTAAGATCCTGGCAGCAACATCAGGTTTCTTTACCTTCCTCTTCACTCGCAGCTTTTGGATGTCCATGAGGCAGATAGGTCAGCTGAACCTTACGGTTGATGCCAGAAAAATGCCCATACCTGTCACAAGGAGAGGGGGAAACAAAAATTCAAACAAATCAACTCCACTCACCCTTTGCCTAGAGGTCCCTAGGCAGCACACAGCAAAAACACAGCACAGGCAAGAGACTTTCTGCTGCAACACCAACCACCATGGAACATGAACACTTTTGCCACCTACCTGTGACCCGGCATGCACCCCAAAAAAAGCCAACCACCCTCAAATGAAATGCAAAGACCCATTTACTTGCTCACTCTTCAGCTGGCAGCGCTCTGGGCTCATACCCCACCAGGGCTTTAATCAGCCTTAGTTCATTTCTGTCTGCATCTTTAGCAAGCACATTAATGAGATCACAGAAAAAAACCCATCCGCCAGCCGCGCTGAGGATAATAACCACATCGCTAACGAGCAGAAAAAGCAGGGGAAGGAATCATCGCAAAAATTCATCCTCTGCGCTCCACAGACATGGCCTGAGCGCAGACACTGCCTGCGTACGCCGCGGTGAGCTACAGTTCTGAGAGAAACCCGTCTCTTGTTCCTAAGATGCCAACACCACCCCATCGTCTTTTATTTTGGCTGTGCGAAACCTAAGAGGACACAAACATCTTTCCATGTTTTCCAAGCTCCTTTTCGTTAAACTTTTGGCACCAGGACAACCTTGTTTAAAACAAGATTTGTTCCAAATTTATCAAAATGCTTCATATCTATGTGGTCCCTACAGGACTACAGTTCCTCTCCCACAGCATAGGAAGCTCAGTTTTGCCTCAAGCTGTCTAGCCAAAACCCAGGCACACTTGGAACAAGAATCAGCAGCGGTTTTGATGCCAAGGAGAAAATGTCAAGCACGTGGCACCTTTCACGTACAGCTGCTAACAGGGGATGGAGGAGACTCTGACCTCTGAGGCGCCAGCTGGCCAGGACATCAGCAGCATAGCTTGTTTCTACATCGCATGCTGACCCGCGGCTCTGAGACAAACTCACGGTGCCCCGAGATATGAACCCTTACATCTCCAAGACGCTCACTCTCCTCAATCTCGCAGTCACTGTGGGTTCCCAGGTCCACCACAAGCTGCCGTGCAATGTCCAGCACTTCCTGTGGGAGAGCAGACACTCTCAAGCATCCACCGGTTCTGCCCCGGACTCACCACTGTACTCTTGCAAGGCCTCCAGATGGCTTCACCCAGCATCAGGTCCACTCATCAGAGACACATCATTTCATAAGACACAGCTCAGGCAGGACAAACTTTCACACTGCAGCTTGCTTCACCCCCACCCTGTGCTCCAGCCCCGTTCAGAACCAAGCAGGTGCCTCCAGCTGCCCACTCCCTAGCCTGGACCCGTCTTTCACCAGAGGCAACCACAGCAGACGGGCAAGCTGCATCAGGTCATCCCCATCCTACAGTCTTCGCACCAGCCAGGAACAGTTTCCGTTCTGCTCTCATGCTATCACCCAACCGAGCGTGCACGGGGTGGGGAATGAGAAAGGGAGTGTTTGTGCGACAGACTCTTCCCTTTTGAGGGTTTCCACCCTCCAAAGAATTGCCTCGCGCTGGGATCCATATTACCTGCATGTCCCACACAGTAACCCCAGAGAGGACTCCCCTCACCTGCAGCTGCTCTGGTTTCTTCAGCTTCAACTTCCCTGTCTTGTAGCCATCATATTTCTCAAATAATTCGAAGAACCTGAACAGACAACAAAGAACCCGATCCATTTTCTGCTGTTTCAGTGCTACAAGAACTGTCATCCCTACATATGCATTCACGCCCTGCTCCTCCGGGAGAACCAGCAGGCCCACTGGCTCCTTCCTATGCTTCAGAAATTCTGAAAAAACAAGTGTTTCCAGCCACAGGTACGAGAAGGAAGCAGCCACTAGCTTCCCATGTAGCGGGGCGCTTCCCTTTGCGGCACCTAGCAGACCTTTGCTCGCTCTCCCAGTGTTCACACAGAAGGTGCCAGGATCCTTACAGGGAAAGGGGGCTCCCTCAACTGGGCAGAAAGCATTTGCTTGAATGGAGCCAGGAAAAAGCACTGCCTCCCATGCACTCAGCCCTTCTGCTCCTCCTCTCGATTCAGAAAATGGGCCCTCCTCACTTCCCAGCAGCAGAGCAGCTTCTTGCCTTGACTCTTACCGGGGATGCTTAACTTCCATCTTCATCTTCTGCTTTGGGGTGCGATCACCGTGCCGGATGACTGCAATAACACAACGAAGCTCCATCCTGGGGAAACACAAGATACCCCTGACAAATGTGCCCCCACGCTCCTGAACTGCCACCAGAAAGTAGCTTCCCACTGTTCTTTCAGTCCCATCCTTTTGACAGCCGCTTTCCACATCAGCGGCAGAACTTCTCCCAGACTAAACCAGGCACAAGTGCCAAGGCTGTAAAAGCAAAGTGCTGCAGACACTACCAGGTCATCTGGGTTCCTATCAGGGAAAAGCACCACAGTACCATAATATGACAGGCAGAACCACATCTGCAGCAGAAAGGACCAGGCTGGATGTTACAGAATCTACAGAAACAGCATTTTGAATTGTGCCAAGCTTGTTTTTATGCCCAACTTGTGTAATGCTCATAGGACCCCTTAGAAAGACCTGGAAAAAACAACTTGGTTCAGAAGAATGGTTATAGAGCTGGGGTCCTGTCTTCAGGCAAGCAGTAAGAGCTGTACCTAGAAAGACCCCATAGCAATCAGCCACCTGCAGGAACCAGTAGTTAGGCTGGCTAATTTCAGAAGGGCTACACGAGTGCTTTTCCAGATACTACAATATCCAACTATTTCTTAGAGGATCCCAGAGAAATGGGGATCAATTCTATCCATCTCGTTGCCACAAGGTGTCGGTGAAGCCAGCAGTCCTGTGAACACAAGGGTGAATACCTACTCGCAATCTACCTTTTCTGTAGCACCTACTTTGTTCACTTCATACAAGCGTACAAGTGCGCTGAGGATCACAAAGACACTTTTGCCTTTGGTCTTTTAGCCTTACGTGGTGGAAAACGAGTGAGGCCAACAGTATGAAATGAGGGTCTGCCAAGTGTACAGGTAATGTGAATACTTCAGCTAATTGTTTTCCACCCATTTCACTGGCAGCTCAAGACGCATTTTCTCCAAGTAGCAGCCTACTGAACAGTGAGCCAGCTACGGCGATGCCCTAACCTGCTTCCTGTGCTGCTCAAGAATTTGGGCCTTCTGAAAGCCACGTGAGCAGTTTCTGTTATTCCTTCAATGACTGCTCATCTGCATTCATCAAACCCACAACTAATTTACCATCTCTCAGCCCTTTCATGTGCATGGCTAAGCCTTTCCACAGGCATTTCAGGACTGCAACCAACACAGCAGCCGGAGAACACCAGGCTGCTGGGTGATCGCCTGTCCCTCGGACAGGGTTTGCACCTTGTCCCTCATGTAGCCATCACCGACATTCTTTTGAGAAGATGGCAGGTACTCACATGGTGCCTGAAGTTGTGGGGACAATGGGAATGTCTTCTGCCTCTGTTGGGATGGACCAGGGAATATGAAACTGGGGAGCCAATTCCCGCATTATTATATTTCTGGAAGAAATCAGAATACAAAACTCACAAGAAATTCCATTCCCTTTGTTCTCCACCTCCTGCTTAGTGGTCCAGTTAAAAGATTTGAAGAGAGCCACAGAACTTCTCCTCACTTTCCTCGCAGAGACACCTACCACACCATGGGCTAGTTAGGGCACCCCAAAGGGACACCAATTTCCCTCACATCACCAATACCGCAGCTGGGCTTAGCATCCAGTGAAAAGCCCTGTAAGATACACCTCGCTGTAGACAGAGATGGCTAATGCCAATGCAGGCAGGAGCTCCAGGGGCTAAAAATAATTGACTCATTCCTCCCAGAGCCAAGCCTTCACCTGCTAAACAAAAAAAAAATGTCCCCATATGAACCACCTGCAGACTGCTCCGACATACTGATCAGGACTCCATATTCATTTTACTTTACTATGCGTTACCGCACCCGCTATCAAAACTTTACTTTTACATACCCGAGGATTTTGGCACAGTCATCGTAATACTTCATAGAGTTCTTCACAAAACTGAAGCCGTTCACATCGCAAACAAAAGAGTGGCCGTTTGCCCGCAGGAGGTCGAACCCGCACACAGTTTGCTGCAGGAGGAAGCAGAGGACGCGGGACTCAGGCGCGCTGTGGGGCAGCGCAGCAAGGGGACAGGGCTGCCCAGCCAAGCGGGGCGCGCACACAGACCCAGCCTACGCTGCCCAGTCCGGCTCCACTGGGGCTGCAGCCGTCCGCTCTGTGCCTACCTCGTGAGCCTTGAAGAAGTGTGAAAATACAGCCACTAGCCAGCAGTCGCAGGCCCTTTAGAGATACACCCTCACAGCTCTATCAAAAGGCCCAACCCACAAGCCCCCGGATTAAGCCGTCAGGGCCGTCCCCTACCTCCCTGAGCTCTAAAGGCTTAAGACAGAGCAGCTCCTGGTTCTCCTGCTCTTGCCTCTAAATCCAACCGTTTTGAACCAGACTGGCAAGTACAGACAATAAGTGGTGCAGGCAAAGACATCCATCACTATGTGGAAAAGGCTACAAGGCAGAACAAGCCCACAGCTGTATCAGCACCACTGCATGGGTTGCAGATTGCAGTGGGGGCAGGAACAAGTAGCCAAGTGCTTCTTCTGCTGACATTGCTGAACATGTCATGTAACCACACCGAGACTCACACACTCACTCTACCGACCTGTAAAATAGAACACAAATGTGCACCAAAGCCAGATCAAAAACAGAACCAAAAAAAACCAAACCCCAGAATAAAAGAAGACCAAGCTTTCCACACAAACACAACTAGGAAACAGCAAGGGTGGGACGAGCGCAGGTCAGAAGGACAGCAGCATGCTCAGAATCTGGTATTAAATGCTGGACACCAGCCACCTGCCAGCACAGAGGGCATTTGCTGCAGGCCCTCCTGCCTTCCCAGTCATTTCAGACCAGTAAACTGCCGTGGCCAGCAGGACCAGCTGCACCCAGCCCGCAGAGACGGCAACTGGCATCAGGCGTGGAAGACCGCCACACCAGAGACACATCGGGGTAACAGAGCTCCAGCTTTAACACTGACCGAGGTTCAAATCACACATTCATGGATTATCCTGCTTACATAGGAGAGAAAAAACAGACCTTAAAGGCTACACAGACTTTCCGGGCGACTAGCTTCTCCATGGCAGTGAGCATGACCGGGTAACGGATTTCTTTCCCTTCACTGTCCCGTTCAACCTTCCCATCCAAAGCAGGGGATTTGCGAGCCTCTGCATGGGCATAGTCCGGCCCAACAGTGTACACCTGGGAAGAGAAATAGTTACACCTGAGATAACCACCTAGATTAACTGCAGCTCCCAGAAGGTATTTGTACTGCAGACACAGAGAGCAGATCAGATGCTCCCACGCATTCCTCCTGTTACGACCTACAGAACACCCGCTCCCCGCTCTGGGATCCAAGCTGCACAGTCAGCATCTCACAGCTTAAACAAACACTCCAGAATCTAAGTAGGACTAAGCAGGACTGCCCAACCTTCAGCCATCCCAGGTCTGGGGAAGGAAGGAGCTATTCCAGGCTTTTCCTTACCTTTACATCGGTGCCATCTGTAGGCATGAACTCCTCATAAATGTACGAGCCTGTCTTCCTCACGCTGCTCTCTGGGGAGTACACGCTACTCCGGCTGCCAATCTGAAAGCGCAGAACAAACACCTCAGGGGAGAGCGTGGGGCTCCTTTTCTTAGGCGGAAGAACAAAAAGCCTAAGTTTCACCCCATGTGTAGAGAATTAGCAGAATGCCTCTCAGAACCCCCAGCTATTACAGCACACTTATTTATGGCAGACAAAAGAGACTCCAAAACACAGACAGTAGGTATGTCCTTTTCCAGGCTTTAAACACAGGAAAAGTTATTACAGGCCATTAGGTTGACTCCAGTCACTACAAGGATAGGGAACAAAAAACAGTGGATAAAGAAAAGTATAGAAAGAAAAATAGAGAAAGTACGGAGCCTAGCTAATAAGCAAATGAACATAAATGATGACAGGTGATAAGCAGAGCAATTTAACTTCACTTCCTTCTAGGACAGTTGACTGATCTTATGGACAGAGGATGATGTTGTTTTCATTTTTAGTGAGGCTTTGGATACAACCTCAAGTGGCATGCCTGTATGTTAGCCAAGGAAACAATCATTTTAAGACTATTAATGGCAGATGCATAACTGGTTGAAAAAAAGATATATCACAGCTATTAACTGTTCGCTGGCAACGCGGAGGAAGTGAGTAAGGGCAGATTCCCTGTGGAATCTAGGAATAAATACTGCATTTATCACATTTGCAAGCTACATTAAGCTGAGAAGGGCAACAATGATGTTAAAGGACAGGAACATAAGTTTAAAAAAAAAAAACAAAATCATCTTGATAAACTGAGGAAGTGATCTGGAAAAAACAGCACGCAATTCAATAAGGGCCACAGTTCTCCATGACTACTAGACAGGACACAGGTCAAACAGAGGATGGGGAAGGCGAAGTCAGACTACCACTAAAATATGTCTTCAATTCCCAGGTAGAGGGGGTTGAACTAGAAGTTCTAAGGAGATCCAGATTTCCCCAACACACAACCTTCCTTTCCCCGTCACCGGCCCCAACACTCCCTCCTGAAGCCCCATGGGTCTCAGAGCCACAGATCTGTTGGTTCCAACACCAAAACTGGAGTCCCCCTCCTCACCTTCCGAAAGAGCCGCTGGCTGCCCCCACCTGCTGACGTCGGGTAGTAAATATACACATTATGGTCTTCAGCACTGACTGGCTTCTCTACAAATGGCTTTGGGAAAACAGCTCCGTTTACTTCCACATGGTCCTCTCCTTCCACCAAGTTGCACTCTGAAGACAAAGCACAGCAGCAGCACGTTAGGAAAGGGTGAGACAGCCCTAGTGCAGCGCCGAAGCCCTTCAGCCCCAGCCAGTCAGCCAGCTTTGCTGCTGGGACCTTTGTCTGCAAAAAACAACAGACTTGTGAATTGGGCCTCTTCAAACTGATTATTAGTGCCTGTTCTCTGCAGAATATCTTAAACAGCAGAGTACATGAAAATGGCTTTCAGTAGAGCCTGGACACTGACCTTCTGGTCTATCAGGGTCTCGATTGAGCACAGCATAGCGGGGCAAGTCTATTCCCTCTTCTTGAAGGATCCGATACACTTCACGCCTGTAGAGGACAGAAAAAGTGTCAGGAGAGTCTAGAAGGTCCCCAGTACATGCCAAGGGAAAGGCTTCACTCCCACTGATGAAGAACAAAGTCAAATGAACACAAAAAAGCCTCAAGACAGAGTGCAAACACTTCTCAGCACATTCTCCAGATAAGACCTACAGGCTATGGGGCACGCCTCAGTCCTACTCTGGACAGAGATGTCCCAGAGTAAATCTCTACCTGGCCTAAACATGGATGCTCATTTACTAGCACATGCCCCATCCACAGCAACACACCCAGCACACGCCATGTACCCAGATCTGCCCTCTCGAAGGGTGCCCTGTCACGCTAAGCTGCCCAACACCCAGGCCAGGCAGATGCAGCAGAGCCTCTTTTCACCCTCCGTCAGGGGGGAAACTGCAACTCTTTCACTAGAGTTACACCTTGGGGTGCCTGTCAGCACCCGCAGGAACAGCACTCACAACCCCAAGACACGGCAGGAGTGCTGGGGTCTGGTACGAGCTCTACCCACACACAGCCGAAGCAGTCTGGCTGGGCGCGCTGAAGTACGTGACTGCTGGTGGCCTCCACCAAGAGCTGACCGAGAAGCCTCTTGAAGTGTCTGACCAACACACTCTCCTCAGGATCTGACCTGGCCTTGCTCCCAATTTCTGTCCCAGAACCCCATCCCTTGTCTCTCCTACTCGGAGACTAGTCTTTTTGTCTTAGTCGTGGCAGTCTCGTTCTGAGACCGCTC